GTGGGGGGGGATGGAGTTGAAAGGGATGGCATATCCTGAAACAACTATGTCGTTGACCCATCGGTCGGTGGAAATCAGAGACCAGCGATGTTGATAAGGTCTCAGCCGATGATGGAATAAAGCTACTTGTGATGCTCCCGACAAAGGGGTTGCCTGCAGTCCCTCGACTGACCCATCAAACTTGTTGCCGGCCCTGCTGTTGACTGGATGTCTTGCCAGATTGCTGTCTTCGTTTCTGCTGGAACTATGTCGTTGACCCATCGGTCGGTGGAAATCAGAGACCAGCGATGTTGATAAGGTCTCAGCCGATGATGGAATAAAGCTACTTGTGATGCTCCCGACAAAGGGGTTGCCTGCAGTCCCTCGACTGACCCATCAAACTTGTTGCCGGCCCTGCTGTTGACTGGATGTCTTGCCAGATTGCTGTCTTCGTTTCTGCTGGCGTTGCCTTGGTCTCTGTTGTTCATATGGCTTGGGGCGGCATGTTGCGTAAGAGAAGAGTCTCTGTTTATTATAGGGCGTATATCTTTTGTGTTTATATGGAGGTGTATACATCCCAAGCGTTCTAAGAGTCGTTCGGGAGTCCTTGCCCGAGTGGAACACCTGATCCGTGGACTGGGCGAAAAGAGACTGACGATCGAATGGTAAGTCTTCTACTTTGTTCAACAACTCTTTCGGGGCACCTGCCTGGTGCAGCCAGGACACACGACGCATGACTACAGCAGTAGCCATGGCTCTAGCTGCTCCATCTGCCATGTCCAGGGCGATTTGTAGTGCTATTCTGGCCGTTGTGTAGCCCTCCTGTATTACCGCCCTCAAGATCTGGCGCTTGGAGTCTGGTAGGTGTTCTAGGAGGGGGACTAATTTAGAATAATTGTCAAAATCATGATTCGCGAGGGGAGCCGTGTAATTACACATGTGGCGGACTGAAGTGGCCGAAGAGTATACTTTCCTACCTAAAATGTCTAGGCGTTTAGCCTCCTTGTCACTTGAAGTGTTTTTATTCTGAGCTGTCTTCGATCTTTGTTGGGCGGCATCCATAACAAGGGAATTGGGTTGGGGATGCGTAAACAAAAAGTCCATACCCTTTTGGTTTATAAAGTATTTCTTGTCCGCCCTCTTGTTCGTCGGTAAAGAAGTGGCAGGAGTCTGCCATATATCGTTTGCGATCTCCAAGATAGCCTCATCGAAGGGCAGAGCCAGGCAGAGCTAGTTTTGATTTTTGTGAGGACTGCAAGTTTTTCAGCAAAGGGTGTTGTTTTTGCTGTATGTTCATAGTTTGAATGTTCTGAGATTGTGCAACCCTGTCAAAGAGCTCTTGAAACTGCTTGTGATCTTCCGTGGGGGATAATTCTCCAGGAAGACAGCATCGTCCGGGGATGACGATGAATGATTGGCTGGAGACTCCGGTTCCCTATTCGGAGTATAGTTGTTTTCATGCCCGTCCTGATTAGTAACTGAGACAGTGTCTTCTGCAGACACTGGTGGAATCGTCGGCGAAGGCGCGTGAAGTGTAGACGCTGGACGAGTGGGTTGTGGGGATCGTGATCTACGAGAATATCGACCGTCGTCATAGTAACGATCATATCGCCGACGGTGAGTTGGGGAGCATCTGGGAGAGTAGGCTCCGGATGCATCATACCGGTGTGACTATCTCGAACGTCTCGATAATCCCAGTGAGACCGATCTGTCAGAAAAACGAGATGGAGAGCGAGAATAGTAGTAATAGGCGTGAGTGAAGGCGTCCGAACGCGCCTTGACCTGTATGGGACCTCAAGTCAGCACCGAGTGATCAGCAGGAGAAGACGGTGCCATTTGAATTGATGTGGTCCCTGCCACCTGGCTGCTCTGCAAAGGAATCAGCGGTGCCGCGGGAGTTAAAGGCTGTGTCGGTGCCAGAGGCGGCAGCGGTGCAGAGGGCTGTACGGTGCCGATGATAGCCTGCGGTGCCTGAGTCTGCACTGTTGCTTGTGGCGCCGCTGGAGTCAAGGTCTCAGCAGTTGGCACCATAGGCATGGGTGCCGG